TTGCTTGGAAATTATTAATGACGTTATTATTATTGTGAAAATGGGTAGTACACTGTGACCTAAAAGATCTATTGTGTGCCCCTTACTCAGATTAGAGTGTTTCTCCAAATCCGATTTCTTTAATAAAAGACAGTTAGAGCCTATCTTTCCTAGTCTTAAGTCCATAAAATTCCCTTCTAGGTGTTTCTTCCGCTTGTGCATCAGTGCCGGGCACTTCCCAAGCAAATGGTATGCAGTTTCTTTCTCTTCTCTAAAGTATCTGCAGTCTGGAGTAGATTGAATTCCTGTTTTCGTGAATTCCTAACTTCGTTAGAATTATTCAGATCCATGTAGATTATTCAAACTACAGTAATTAATAACGTTACTGTTGACAGTTTTTAGAAAGCATTCCTCTCGTAATATTTACATGGATTTCTGAAATGGTGAGAGTAATTTTAGCAATTAAAGAGTAAAACCACATAAACAAATATTGCCAATATTTTTCTACCTTTCATTTTCTTTGGCGGAAACCATCGACACTTATACCATGACGTGATGTTCTACCTCATGACTAAAATTCACATGGTAAAGTTGCATTCTACTGTATATCCCAATTCGATATTCCACAAACATTTTCGGCTCCTTTTGAGGAAGTGAAGAACATATCGAAGAAAATCAATAAAACTCGAGTATTGGAGAATGAGACAATAGCATAGAAAACATTTTATGGTGCCAACAATCTCCAACCAAAGTGAACATAAATTCCATATAAAGTTAACTAAGTGGCGTGAACAGTGATTGCATCAAATAGATGTCTACAATCTGCATGACATGAAATGACAAGAAAATCTATATCCTTTCCTCTGACTTCAAGTAAGATTATTTTGAGGCAGCCATTGTGATTTTGCCATTTATTGTTTGATTTAGATTAGATGGAATGCTTGAACTTGTGGTAATTAAATCCAAACTACTATTTTCAAATACTTTTTTAATTTCTTTTTGGGAATTTTAATGCATGATTCAATTTTATTAAATGCTAAATTTGTTTAAAAAAAGAAGCAGTAGTTAAAATGTTTTTGAAATTAAGAAAATTTGAAATTTAATATTTAATGAAATGAATTCTTGGACTGATCATACAGCTATTTTATATACTAACAAATATTCATCATCAGTAGTCTAACATATCTATACTCGTACATATCGTCGTTTAATTGTCAGCACACAAATTTTGGATTGCAAGTGTTGGGAGTTGCATACGTTCAAATTTATATCGTGGACTCGCGTGTTTACTCATCAAATCCAAAGTACACTTAACATATACTGGATTCACACGACAGTTTTATTTGTCAGTTTTAGACAATTGTTGCTGTCAATTTCAGCTGTCAATTACAGCTATCAATTGTTGTTTCTTCCAAACTAAAATGAAAATTTTTGATAGCCAAAATTACAAACAAAACTCTAGAGTGAATCCACTATTATTTTGCGTTAAATTTCGAGTTTTGCCATTTTTTGTTGCTTATTCGTCAATTGCACTTTCTGTACTTTTTTGAGAATAAACACATAAACCACCGTTATATATAAAGTGTTGTTTTTTTATTATGTTTTTTTTTATTATTGTGTCATATGGTCAATTAAGAAATATTTCCGTATCTTTAATCTTGAAACTATCTATGATTAATAGAAAATGTTGTATTAGTAAAGACGAATGATGATTTTGGCAGCTAAGATAATTAAAATAAAATTAATCAAAATAAGCAAAATGTAATATTCAATAAAATTATCAACTTAGAAAAAAAAATTATGATTTTTCAAACCCAGTTTTTCAAGTTCTTCACTAATAGAATAGATAAATTACGCGTATGTATCAATCTAATACTTATAGGTGTATCATAGGTATATGAGTATTACGCTTACCTAAGAGTATATAAGTATAAATAATATTTCTTAACAAAAGAAAATATGTCACATATAGCATATATAAAATATATCAAACTCTTTAGCTACATTTTTTTATTAGCTGAAATCTATTTTATAGGACTTTTTCACAAAAATTTAAATGAAATATTTGAACACATTCGTCTATTCTTTTCCATTTGTTCTTTTTTACAAGAACATTAACTCTAAATGAGAACAGGTAAACAGATTATCATAAATAATATTACTAAGAAATACACTTTGCAATGTATCTCAATATTTGTATCTTCATATTTTTGTTATTGTTTATTAGTTTTTTCTGTTTGTTTTGTTTGTTTTTCTTAATTGTTTATATTTTGTTTTTTCCTGTGTCGAAAGATTTTTTTTAAATTGGTGATATCATTTCAGTCTTTAATTCAAATAAATTTGAAACTGAAATGATAATTTTTTCTATACACAAAACAATTGTAAAGTTTAAAGATTGTTTGAAAAAAAAAGTTTATCATTTTATTTATGAAATTTGTCAAAAATAGATTTTGTTAAATTTTTTCGCTGTTATCTGTTTGAATTAAAAATATCGAAGACATCATTTTTGGCAAACCTTACCTTATCTTAATAATTATCAATTGCTTTCAATTAATTTATAGCACTCGCAATAGTCTCCGAGGAGACTTTGAACAACTATTGTTTCAATTATTTTGTCATGCAAAATTTATAAAGTCATTAATGTCAATTATAGTGCACATACGTATATTTGTTACATACATAAATGCCGTACTTGATTTTAAGTGATTGATTATAGAATTGCTAAATAAATAAATAAAAATTTGATATGAAATCATATAAATATATTTGACTATTTAATTATTACAATCTACAGATTTTTTAATTTATTAATTAAATTAATTTCAATGACCTCAGATTCAGATTTATGTAAATTAATCAATTAACAATTTTCAAGATAAAAATTGTTTTTCTGCAGTATAATTAATATCTTGTTAATCTAGATAAAGCTCACCAGAAGAGTCAACAAAATGTGCCCTTATAACTTACAAATGTCAGTCTAAAGTTTTCTAAAAGTAAAAATCTAAAAAAAAAGTAACATTAACTTTTCTCTCACACAGATGACTTTGATACAAATTAATAAGAGAATAAATTAAATCAATCGATTGGCTTAAAAATACTATTTCTTACCAGTTATATATATAAGTTTCTTTCAAATAGATTGATAAATAAACAGATATATGTTTGTAAACACGAAAGTTTAGAGGACCTTTTAGGAATAAATTTTCAAGCACTTGTCGTAAAAACTGGAGAAATCGTATATAAGAGTACAAGTAGAAGAGTTCTACTACTAATATATAGAAGTCTTGCTCGACCTTCAGTTCAAGCGGTTCAACAGTTCATTGTGACTAAACTGATGGACTGATTATACTATCAAATATGATAGTATAAGTAGAAGATTTCTACTACTCATATATAGAAGTCTTGCTCGAGCTTTAATTCAAGCAGTACAACAGTTCAGTGTGATTTACAGTCCGTCAGAATTAACATAAACTATGTGTTACTATACACAGACTGTTTTCTAATCAGACACCATAAATGCAGGGTTCATTTCTTGGGTTCAAGAATTGAATAACGTTGTGGGTCAAAGAAAAGTTTATCAGTAAAAAATCCTTACACTTAAAAACACTAATAAACAATGTACGATCAATTATATGGTATATACGAATTAGAAAATGTTAATAACATTAATTAATAATAATTCATAATTACAGAAAAGTCTATCAGTGAAAAATCCTTACATTTAAAAACCCAAATATCTGAGAAATTATTTGAATTATTTGAAAAATGTATCGTTAATTAGAGTATTACTACTTATATGATCTAGGAAATTTGTACCTAGATCTTTAAAAAAAAATGCTTGATACAATTAATAATATCTTGAAATTAAACTTAAAATACCATCAATAGGCCTCTTGTAGTGCAATACTCCTATGTCTTCACTTGACCCATTTGTTCATAAATTTTTCAAAGGTTGATTGAGATTTAGGCTTAATTCCTTCAAAGAATTCTCTTTAATTGCAGCAATAGAGTCAATTACGGATATAAAAAAACTTAGTAAAGGATAAATGAGCTACATGCTACAGTCAGCCTATAAAAAATGTGTGAAGAATGGAATCAAGGGTTAACATTGTAGTAATGCTGTGTTTTATCTTAAGGACGATAATATAATCGTACATATAAATTCATTAATGATCACATTTTGTTATATTTAATAATTCCTGGAACTTTTTGCATAAAGTGTATATTTGCGATTACTTGATAGTTGTTCCTATTAAGTTAGCGAAATTATTAATAAACATTATAAATTATATAGATTTCATAACATTATAAAATAATATTAGCAACTAAATTTTACTTAATTTTTTATTAAGCATTAGTTGAAACAAATATATGAAACAAATTTTTTATACCTTATGGTTACCGGTATTACAAAAAGTCAGGTCATTTTAATATAGTGTTTCAAAATTTTTTTAACTATTACTTAACAAGTAAATAACCTAATCTTTATTCTGAGAGTTCTTCCTATATTAAATCGATCGGAATACACGTGCATTCAATATTTAATTGTTGGTTACCGAATTACTCTGTTTTATTTATAATAACTTTATGACGTGGCTATTGATATTTTTTTAGTTAATCAATCTTAATGCATTAGGTAACCAAAAGACACAGCTCATCATAAGAATAGCTTTCAGCTAATAAGTAAATATCGTTACGTAGAAAATTACTAGACGTTGGGGTGATGCATTACAAATGTTCCATTACTTAATATGGAAAGAGAATCAGTGAACAACACGCGCGTGGGATTTTCTCAAACTAAATTCGTAATACATTTACCTCTTAATTATTCTATTTTTATATGTACACTTTATTGTTACTAATACTACAGAATTTATAAACTTAAACTGGTAAAATATTGCACTTATCCAAGGTTGTCATCTGTATTTTATTTTATATTTGCAAATACAATAAATCAAACTTATTGCTGTTATTAATCGAAATTTATTATAAATCATTACTGTTTATTGATCTATTTGCAGTGGCTACAGACCGAAGACGTTAATCGAAAAAAGGAGATACGTTCGCATTTATTCAAACTACGTGAATCACGCTTAAGAGATTTATATCAAAGTGACATCATGTCTCAGCCAAATTTTGGTAAGGATCCTTTAACTCCATCACATGGCGACTCTTTGGTTGATCAGAGTTTCGAGAGTTTAAAATCGAAAGAGATACGTGATTCGATGAGTCCAACACATGATATGAATTTTCACTCGCTTACATTGAAACACCCGAATACAACTGGTTGGGATGTGCAAACTTCCTCTGAAGTTAGTCCCGATGGACGTGCTTATCGTTCTGAAACGTTGGCAACCACTGATGGTAATTATTTAATATTTATAATAAAATTATTTATTGAAATATTTTTATACTTTGTACATATATATAGACTAAACAAAAATAAACATAAAATATTATTTAAAAAAAAATAAACATGTATATATATATCTTACATAAATGAACTTATTATGTAATTTTATACAAATTTGACACTAAAATAAATTTTAAATAAAATTAAAAAAAATTTACAGGCGTTGAAAAAATTAATGGTGGCACGGCTGAATTTAAAGGACGTAACGAACAACGTTCTAGCGCTTCCCATCAGGGAGACGATAAGAATTTTGTAAAAAAGGCTTCCGAAAGCTCAAACACGCACTTACAGGAGAAAGTTGTAATAGGTGATGAAAATTCTGGCCGCACCGAAATGAAGATGAGTTCAACAAGCACATCTTCATCATCGCAGGTGATATCATCATCAACGGTAGAATACGATGATGAGCATATGCCAAGCGGAAACAGATATTTAACGGATAATACAAGTCGTCACCAGTTGCAGAACGAGCATAATAGAATGCAGCGCTTGCAGGAGGAAGAATATCGTCAAAGAGAACAACGACAACGCCAACAACAGCAACAGCAACAGCAACAACAACAACACGAGTTTGAACAAAGACAACGTTTGGAAAATCAAACTACTTCCACCCAGCAGCGTCAACAACAGTACAGTCAAGAGTATAATACTAATCGTGAAGAAACTAGCACCAGTCGCAATGTTGAGACTCAAAATCGTTACGAAGAAAATAAACGCTATGTTGATATGGATAAGGCCTCACCAGAATATCAGCGACAAGTTCAATACTTAATGTCCCAACCAGGTGAAATAATTTCAAATACTGTTGAATATCCCAAACCAAATGTTAAAATGATTACAACTGTAAAACGACTACCTGATGGTACTATTGTGAAAAACAAACGTTACGAAACGGAGGAATTACGTCCAACTAATGAACATACTCATCAACGTAGCACAACTACTACAAATCAGAGTTCAACTCAGCGAAAGAATGAAAGACACGTAGAAGAACAAGAAAACACTCGCAACAGGCAGCAAGTCATACGTGAAACTGACGATTATGTAACTCAAAAAAGTTCTCCAAATAGACGTCCCAATGCCGATGTTGTCGATAATATTGAAACCACACACCATCGTGACCACGATAGGAGTTCAAATAAACAACAGTTAGTAGAATCATATCCTCAAGACCAATACACCGATGATGTTACAAATATCACAAAATCATTTTCTACAGTAAAAAAATCTAGCCGACGTTTTTCAACAGAAACAACATCAGAAAGTATTGAAGAAATTGATGATCATTCACCCAGAAACAAACCAATAAGAAGTGGTCGCCCAACTGAAGATTTTTCAACTCATGGCTTTCCCTCAGTGAAACCAAATAAACCAACACAGGAGTATCCTACAGATAGACCACATTCAGCAACTCCATCTAATGACTTTAGCACACAGGGGTTTCCTTCAGTGAAACCAAATAAAATGACACAAGAATATCCAACCCAACGTCCACATCCAGTTAATGAATTAGACATGTACGTAGTTCAAGATTCAAGGCGAAACACTGAGTCAAGTCCACGTAACTTAACGAAAAATACAGATGATGATGTAGTGGTTGTGAGTTCCGAGTCTACACGTAATTTCAAACATAAAACAAATAGTGAGCGCACTATTGAAACGGAAGTCGTAACATCTGGTAGTGATCGTACTAAACAAATTGAGTCAACAACTACAAATAAATCGGAAGATTATTCCCATGGTTTTCCATCGGTGAAAGGCTCTTCACCATTACGTGAAATATCTCCAAGACAAGGAACGCCAACACGTCAAACTCAACCAAATGATGATTTTTCAACACATGGTTTTCCATCTGTACGATCGCCAACAAAAGGGGCACCAGATTATACTACACATGGTTTTCCGTCGTCACGTGATGTTATTAAATCCAATAAAAATATCATCGTGACTCCTTCATCTAGAGGTGAAGAAGTAATAACAATAAGTTCTGAAAGAACAAAAAATGCTAAACACAATACTACATCAGAACGAATTATCGAAATGGAAGTTGCTACAGATGATGATTATACATCATCTAGACCTGGAAATCAAAATAAAAATAAACCAGAAGATTTTTCTACACATGGATTTCCTTCTGTTAAAGATAAAACACCGACGAGGGAATTTTCTCCAAGACATGATGAATATATACCAAAATCTCCAACTAAAACTCCAGATTATTCTACTCATGGGTTTCCATCAGCAAAAGACAGCAACAAACCTAGATCTGTAGCACCTCGTCATAGTCCAACTACCACAACATCAACTGTAAAAAAACCTTCAGCTGAATCGGCACAAAAACTTATACAGAAAGAGAAAGAAGTAGATGCCGCACATAGAGCTTTCGCAGCTTCGTTACGTAGTTCATCACCAATCGATAATAACAGACGCGATAGTTATTCCGATCATCATAGGCAAACACCACGTTCAAGTGTTTCTTCTGCTAGAACAACACCCAGACGCGAATTGCGAGAAGGATCTCATGATAGCGCAGCACCATCCGAACATAGTCGAATCAGTTCTACTACAGTGACACGTCAATCTCCAACAAAAACTACTGGTAAAACTGTTGTTACAAAGCATACTGTTGTTAAAACTAAAAACACGAATGGTTCTAATGAAACAATCGATTTAACACCACAGCGTTCCACAAAGTCACCTTCGCCGAGCAAGACCACAATTACGACCACTACAAAAACTACTACTACTAAAAAATTACCTGCCGAAGTGCCAAAACCAGGTACGAACTAAATTCCTTTATTATTGTTTATAAACGGATATCTATCCTTCAGATAACCAGTTTACTAAGCCAGCTGAAAATTTATTTCCTATTAACGAACCACTAACAATTACAAAATCTAACTTCACCGCAAACGATGCCAGTTTCGAAAGAAACGAGGCAGTCGAGGCGCCATGTATTAAGAAAAAATTTTATCTAGTCGGTCCGTCCGATAAAGTTTCCAATAAATCAATAGATGGTAAGAGCATAAGTTAATAAATCGCTTGCCAAAAATATCTAACAATTTTTCTTTCACTATTTCTTACAAAACACAACTGCTTTATCTGTTTATATGCTATGTATCTATCGAATCGAAGAGCTTATAGTAAATAATTTTCCGGCACAACCACAACTATCTGAAATAGAAAACCAAACAAATAATGACAGTAAAATGACGAACACAACAACAACAAATACAACTATACAAAACACTGACGGTGTCGAAAAAAGTACAGAAAGAACCGATACCGAAAGAACTGAGGCACCAATCACAACAACAAAAACAACAACAGTTTCAACAGCGAACAAACCAGAAAATGAAGACCTTACCAAGCATGTGACCACTGCCAATAACCAAGAGCAGCTATTGTTGCATGGTATGCCATAATCTAACAATAATCTCTTATATAAATGTAAACGTAGTGTGTATGTAACAAAACAGTAACAAAGTAACAAAAAGTAGTTTGGAAATCTTAGACTAATCCATTAATACCAAAAGTACACGTAGTATAATCATTAAAGAGTGTTTATTAGTATAATAGCTGTAATTTCCAACAGAGAGGTCATCACCACATTCACCAGCACCAAATATTCATAAACCTCGCACTAATGCTAATACTCGTTCCCCAACGCGGGACTACAAACCAGCTAACATCGATGATCAAATCATTATTAAATCATCCAGCCCGATTGGTAAGAAAAACGAAGAACGTAGGACTGTTGTGAGAGAGTCAACTTTTGAAAAACCGCAAACTGCTAATGAACCTGTTGCAGAAATTCCTTATGAAACGGATTTAACAGAAAACATATTCGAAATTATAGATGATATTGAAAAAGTAAAAAACAAAACACATTTTTCGTCTGAACAAATTGAGGTTAGTGATAAAACATTTGATGAACATGATCATGTCCAAACGAGATCGCAGAAAAAAAATAAAAATAAACAACCAATTCAACCGAGCGAATTGAATAAACCAATGCACACCAAACAACCAGTGCAGCCGAAACAAACTACACAAGGACCTAAAACTATTAATACTGAAGTAATTAACCGGAAGACAAAAACTATTCATTCGAAAAATATTGATTCCAATTCAGTTATTCCGGATCAAAATAAAGAACCATTGAATCGAAGTCCAGACACTGATGAGGAAGAGTTTATACCTACTACAGAAAATGAAACAACAATTGTCGAAGAAATCCTGGAGATTGGTACTAAAAATTCAGATATACCAAAAGATCAAAAGAAGTTTTCAAAACCAAAATATGATAATCAGAATATCAAAACTAAACCACTTTCTCGCACACCTAGCCCAGAAAAGACTACTTCAACTACAAGAGATACAATATTTTCAAAAACACATATAAATGAAATAAAACCAGTTACTAAGCCCACTCTATCTACAAATGAGAAAAATGACACATTAAAAACACAAAAGTACGATGACAATGCAAAAGTCGAAGAGCTATTTGAGCAAACAAATCACAAGAAACAAATAACATCGAAGCATAATATTGATGAGTTTATATCAAATGAACTTAAACATCAACTACCAAGCACTAAAGAATTACCTGATGGCAGTCTAATTTCGAAAAGCAAGGAACCAGTTCCAACTTCACCAACTTTCAAAAAAAAGGGTTTAAGTCGAAGAGAAACGTTTGAGGAACGTTGTCGTCAAATTTTGGGTATGGAAGATAATGGCGATACACAGGGTAAATATCAAAATCGTCCAGAATTTGAACCGAAACATGATGAAGATACACCCAAAGAATTAATAGAAAACCAAAATGATGTACTACAATTTGAAGTAACAATTGAAGATTGTAATGATGATGAACCTTTGGATATAAATAATGTTAAGAAATCATTACTGAAGAAAGAGCTAATAGAATCTAAAAAAAAACATATAACTAAAAACCCCGAAGAAGTATTTGAACCACAACCAACCACTAGCGATAAAAATAAAACAAATGCTATAAATAAATATGTAAAAGAAGATTTGCATACAGTTGATACAACCAATGACAATATAATAAAAACCACAAAAGTTCTTCAACCCCAACAACCTAGAGAAAAGAATAAACTTATTGAAAAAACTACAATTGTTATTGAAAACCAACGATCAAAACCTAAACTTTCAGAACCATGTGAAGAAACACATTCAAGTGACAGTGAAACTGAGTCCTCTGGTAATATTACAGAAGTAGAGACCGAACAAGAAAACTATGTATCTGAAAAAGTTGTAAATCTCGATGATATACTTTCATCTCAAATTACAGAAAAGAGTATCAAAACAGAGAGCGTACCGAAAACAAAAAATACTAAAACACCAAACAAATCAAGTAATGATACTGTAGAAACAAAAAGAACTTCGAAATCAGTATCTACCACAAAACAAACAGTTTCTAACAAAAATGATGAGCAAGCAGTTACAAAACAACAGCCCAGAAAACCTACTACAAAACAACCAAGCAGAGATAACCTCACTAAACCTAATGATAAGTCTATAATAACACAGGTTTCACAGCGTACAACACAAAAATCAAATATCGAAAAAACTTCTAAATCAATAACTAAAGATAAGACAAGTCCAAGACCTTCTCGGGTTCAACGCAAGTCTGTAGATAACAGTGGAGATTCCTCACCTGACATTAGCCCCTCACGTTTATCAGAGCGAAGACGATCAAGTAATATCTCAGTGCATACAGAAATCATTATAGAACATGCTAGCCCAAAATCTCCAAGGAAATATGAAACAACCCCAAAAACTCAGCCACGCACAGTTAAAGAACCAACTGAGAAAGATCTTTTAGAAAAAACGTTAACACATAAACCAACTCGCAAGTTGGCTGTTACAGAACGTAAAGAGTCTGCTCCGGTTCAGAGAGTATCCCGTAAAGACAAAGACGTTAAAATGCCACGGTCAACTAGTGAGCAAAAAATAAAAGTCGGTACAAAGCCCGTAGCAAAACCTGATATGAATTCTCTTTCTCCAAATCTCTCCGTTAAGTCTGATAATCGCCCAAATAAATGCTTTGCAACGAAAACTATTAATTTAGTTACAATCGATAAGACACTCAATAGTGAAGATATGGAGAATGTTATAATTGATATACAACAGGCTAAGAGTTCGAGAGAGCCTTCGCCAGATAAAATAGTTCCCACACCAGTACCAGCTGGCATGGACACTGGAAAACCACGTTATCCTGATGTTGTGCAAGAACCCGAAGAAGAACCACGTAAAAAGCCACAAGTTAAAAATATTCCAATTTTTGAAGAAGAAACAAATGAATATGTCGGCTGTCAAATTTCTGAAGTTCAAACCGAACAAATAACAAAAACTAAGGAATATGTTGACTACAATGATGATAACATAGATAATCCAATAGTTGAAGCGCCTAAGAGCTTGGATTATACAACTGTTAATAAGTCGGATGATGAGAGTCTTTTGAGTGTACAGGAAAAGGTTTCGAAGTTTATACATACAGCAGAAGAAGTTAAAAAACCCAAAGTTTCCAGTCCATTTAGTAGAGATTTCGCTCAAGAATCAACTGTACCTGAAAACGATGACTCTCTACTTACTGTCGATCAAAAGGTAACGAAATTTTTGCAAACTGCTGAAAGTATCACAAAACCAGTATTTTCGACTAAACCGGAATTTGAACGTCCTAAATATGACGATTTAGATGAAGATTTACGACATGATAATTGCATTTTGAGTGTTTCACAAAAAGTCAATAAATTTATTGACACAGCAGAAAAACTTGCACCTACAACTCCTCAGAAATCACCAGAGTTAGTAGCTAAAATTGAAAGACATATTTCTCGACAAAGTGAACCAGAATATCCAAATCTTAGCGATCAAGAAGAATCGATAACACCATTTTCAGAAAATCATACTATTGAGATTGAAATGAAGCGTCAAAAAGATATTCTATCAAGACCATCAATATGGCAAAACAAAAAAGATGAAGATAATATAACTACGCAAACAACCGTGAAAAATATATATAATAATTCTGACGATGAAAAAGAACCACTTACAGAGGATGAGCTTATTCCAATGACTAAAAAACATACCATTGGCATCGAATTAAAACGTCAAAACGATATTTTATCAAGACCTTCAGTTTTTCAGACAAATAATGTACCACAGAAACAACCTATTCCTTCAGAACCCAAAACGCATTTAAAAACAAAAGAAAAAGTTCCACACAAAATCGGTGTTGTTTCGGGAAAGATTGATGTCGAAAATTCTGTTAGTGATTTTAAAAATCGTACAAAATCTATAAGCAAATATCAGTCATCTACACTGTCTACAACTAAATCGAAATTTGAAACACCAAAAAATGAAATTAGTCCAAATAAAAGAAAACCTTCATTCGAAAATGAGAAACCAATGAAATCCGGTCCTAAAAATCAAACACTAACGAAGTTGGACGTAACTACAAATGAAATTCATTCGCAGAATTCTGAATCAGAAAATGAATTGAATTTTACTACAAAACGCAGAAGTTCGTCCAAAGTTAAAGATAATATAACTAACATTGAAGACAAAGTTCCACATTCAAAGAAACCCACACACACGTCTTCTCCTCAGCATAAAAAATCAACAAATAACTCTCACAGCCCTATTCAAAGTCCTAACACGTTCACAAAAACAAATGTGACTAAAATTACTGAACGCACCTCAACGCATACAACACCAACTAAAATTATTACCACTGATACAGTTGAATCAATTTTAGAGCCCAGCAGTCCAGCTAGTCAAAGCCCTATTACAAAAGGAAAGACCAAAATGACAACAACAGAGTCCATAGCTGCCAGACGCAATATTTTTGAAAAAGGTGTTCCAACGAAGACAAATAAAACCAACACACCTGTTCAAACGGGACGTCGACCATCATATATGGATCATACAATGAGTTCACTGGAACATCGTAAAGATTCTCTTGAATTGAATAAAACAAATTATGCACGTAAATCTTCAACAGAGGATGATAGCTTATATGACCGTCGTCCAAACACCGCTGTTAAATTTCGTGTACCAGAAAAAAGTGTAGAGGGACCAATTAGTAATATAGATGATGTTAATATTGAAGAAATTTTTGATTTGGAAGTACTTGAACAAATGTTGGAAATCACAACTTCTTATGAAATCAGGCGAAGAATACGTGCACAAATAAGATTGGTCAAAAAGAATATGCTTAATACACAATATATCGAGAGAGCAAATGCCGATACTCAAAAATCGACAGTATTTACCACAAGTGAGAAAACAGCTAAAACTATGTCCACCTATGAAACAAAAGACAGGTCGATGATAAACACGAAAACAACAAGAAAACCAATTGAACGTAGTTTCAGTCCAGATGATAGATCAAACGAATCAGTTCAAGAATCAGAAGATTTTGAGTGTCATAGAAAACCGAGAGAACATAGTCCAACATCAAAAACTATTAGCAGCAGTCTTAAAGAAATTCGCCGTGTGACTGATACATCAAGATCACATCCACAAGATACAGTATTAACAGAAGAAATAGTTACGGTGAAAATAGATAAGTCCAAAAATAGATCTACTGACCAAAACTTTGAAACAAGAACCGATAAACAGCGAATTGGTAGTGAAAGTCCTACTTGTACGTACAAGTCGCAGGACCAAGTTACTGTGCATGTAGAAAGAATCCCAAAAAGCAGTAGAGATCATAGTCCTGAAGCTAAGACAATAAGTAGCAGTCTAAAGGAAGTACGGCGTTCAACAGAACGTAATCAACATAGTGAAGCAATCCCATCGAAAGGCACGATGCCAACGAAACATCGCGATGAAAGTATTAGCCCAAGTCGTTCAAAACCACGCGAACCTAGTCCAGAGTGGAAGAATATGAGTAACACCGCAAAGCAAGGTAGTCGTATTACTGAAATTTCTACCAAGGAAACAATTACGACTGAAAAGACAATAAAAAACAGAAAACAAAGCGATAGCAGTATAAGTCCTACTCGTTCAAAGTCTCGCGATCATAGCCCAGAAGCTAAAACCACTAAAAGTAGTTTAAAGGAAAGAAAACAGCGTGAGGGCAGCATAAGTCCGACATCCTCTAAATCTCCAGATCATAGTCCGGAAGCGAAGACTATTAGCAGCATGCTTAAAGAAGTTCGTCGAGTTTCAGGTGAACAGGAAAGTTATAGCACACAAAGAAAGACGCAAATGGAAGTTGTTGATACTGTGGAAAAGGTGCGAACTCCTATATTAGAAAAGAAAAGGCTCCCAATTAGTAGTCCCGAGCGAATAAGTAAACCTTTATCACGACAAGAAAGTGCTACTCCAAAAGGACAATCTGTTGCACGTACTCAAAGTCCAGATAAACTTAAAAAGCAAGAATATGGTCTTAGCTCACAGAAAGAAGAAACGACAAGAAAGAGAACTGATAATGCGTCAAAAGTGCAACCAAAACCACGTGTACCACAAACTTCTGATAATAGAACTGGTAAGCAACAAGAACGTGAAAATTATACAGTTACAAGAACCACAGTAAGAACAACTTACTCACCAGAGCGAAAACAAAGTCAAACAAAAGTTGATGAAAAAACTCCAATTTGGGCAGATCGTAAAAATATATTAAAAAATCAGGGCAGCAATATTGTGAAGAAAACACCTTCTCCAAGTACAACTCGTAGCAATGTTACTAGAACAATAAAATCAAGTACTCAACAACAGAGTAGAACTTTCAATGAAGAGGATTCAATTACTTCTAGTTACGGTATAGGACCTACTGACGAAAATGGTTTGCCATTATTTGGTATCAAGGCACTAAGAAAAAAAAAGCAACCAGAACAGCCCTGTGAAACCAAAGAAGGTAAGAGAAACAATAAAGTAATGGTAAATTATAATAATATTTATATACTATATAAACAGAAGTCACAGGATATATAGTTGAGGAAAAGTATTTTTCTGATAATAAGACAAAACCAACTGTTCAACGTAAAGAATACATCTATTCTACAAATGCTGATGAACTGGAACAAATAAAGAAAAAAGTCGATAGTCAAAAAACTTCAAAAGATACTGAAGTGACTAGAACCTTCGAACAAATAGAAACTGGCAATGTAAGTATAAAGTAGTTACTTTAAATGTATATATGTAAGCAAACAAGATTAAATGAAATAATTATAATCATATAAGGAACTGGATGGAATGAAAGCACTTACAATGTCAATGCCAACAACTGAAGAGTTCTCAACATCATCCACAAAACATGTTCGACGTGGTTCTGTGAAAGAGATGAGTGAAAAATTCATACGCAAGGAATCATCGCAATCGATTACAGAAAAGTCCAGTTCATATCCTAAAGCAGGTCTTATATTACGCTCAACACCACGTTTAAGTTCTGGAGACGCCACAGGTTAGCTGTTATACAGTTTTGAATTTACATATTTTTTAAATTTCTAATTGATTTATTTTACTTTAATTTTATTAAAAATCTTTAGATGCATTTGAAAGTACTACGGATATTATAACAAAAAAATTTAGTTCTAATGATTCAAAACAAGATTTCGACACTGAAGATCATGAATTTGATATGGAACAGTCCAAAACAGTGCAAACCGAAAGTGAAAGTGAATGTGAATCTGTAAAAATATTACGAGTAACTAATCAGAAATCTACAAGATCTTCAACATCGACACGCTCTTTTCTTAACACCAGCGGTGACTCTAAGGTTGTAACAGGCGTTGATGATGTCTTAGAACGAATGCGCAATGCGGATAATGGTAATATTAAAGTACTCTTATTTCCTATTATTTTTTTCATAAATAAATTTTATTAAAGTTGTCGAAGAAGGTGATACAGCTGAAGATCAGGAAGCGCGTGCTTTGCTTAATAAGTTTCTAGGAGCGAGTGTTATTATGAGAGGAGTAGAATCGGCTCTTCCAACGAAACAAACGAGAACGACTGTTACCACATACGCTGATGGCGATGGCGATGGCGGTGGGGACAAAAGAAAACGTGAGGTAAGCACTTCTTGTATTAAAGATAATTTTTATTTTTTAATTTGACATGTGTGGAATGTTTTCATTAATTAAAAATAAATTTTAATTATTTTTAAATAATTTTGTTGAAATGTTTTTATAAAAGAAACCCATAAAATTACGTAAAATACGAGTATGACATATGGGATTTTGTTTTGATTATTTTTTGATGAGTTTAGAAAAATAGCACAGAACTGCCCTCATCATTTAATCGTTAAGAGGTAGTGGGTATAGCATTATCTAAAAATATAAATTATTTTAAACGTTGCTTTTTTTTAAAATTAGTTGACTTCTTAAGTCTAAAAAATAAATAATCATTAAAATTTTTGCAAATAGAAATTGTAAAAAATAATATAGTTTTATGTAAGAAATTAATATAAAAATTTATAATATATTTACGTGGTTAAAAAAGATTTATATGTAAATTATTTTATAAATGTACAAAATTATGGATAGAATAAAGTATATATATGCTATAAAATATTATTATTATAGATATAGATTATGTATTGTATATTACAGATATAATATTGATTTCTTATAACTATGGCAACTTCAATACTGTGAATATATGTATATATATATATTTAAAAGTACAATTTTTTAACCAGCAAACGTATATATAGTATTAAATTCCTTATTAAGAAATAACATATTAAAAATTCCTTTATAATATGATGAAATTGATATCCATATCATTTAATAGTGAACATTTTTCGATTTTTCTATACTGTATATATACAGTATACTTATATATATTATATATATGATACTTATTATACATATTACATATAATCTACATATATGTATATATATTTTACCTCATTTTATTTTGAAATCCATGATTAGAAGAAAAAATATTTTGTTTGTCCAGCACATAATATTATTTTAATTCAGAATCGTAAGTTTGATTGAGTAGACAGAAATACAATTTCAGTCATTATTCTCTAAGTAAGCTATATATCATAATACCTGTAACAAAATGAAAAGATATATAGACCACAAAGTAGCTGTTTCTTTAAAACAGAAATTCATTGTAAGAAACTTGATACGTTATTTTTTCTTTCGCCGTAATTTACATACCTATTACGCAGAGTTATGGACACTTATCTAATAAAAATAAAATCTTTAAGAATATATAGTAATTATATAAATATATATTATATTTTTTTGTTTCATGAAATAATGGTAAAGAATTAAATTGTGCACTTTTTTGGTAACCGTTTTGTAAAGTAAGATACTAATTTGCATTAAAATAGACAGAGCTGACTAGATGAAACCGTCTGGCTGAATTGATCAACAATATACATATATGTACGTCATAGGGTTGAATGTCTCATTCAAACATGTTGCAAATATTTTGACAATTTTAATATATTATAAATAATACAAAAAAAACACATTAATTGCGTTTTTTTTAACAATTATAGTGGAAAAAATAATTATAAATTTGCATATTGTAGAAATTTTCATATGTATACAAAAACTACTTTAACAAATTGTTTCATATTTCCCTTGGCAATATGCTGGCTACGTCATATACTATATTTGAAACTGAAGAGATCCGCATAAACATTTTTAATTTTTTAGTTTTTTAAATTTTCCATCGATATACTCACGTGATAAGCACGTGAATTTTTTATCATGTTTTCACCATATAAAATTTATAGTATAGGTATAAATTATATATTATATAGTATATATAAGTTTTGAGTTATGTCAGTTCTTTGGAAAATATTAAATATCATTCCAAAATATAAGTATTATACTTAAAGTATATATCAGTGAACAACATTATATTTAAAATATCAAGCTTTTAGCATATTTCCACTGTAGTTCGCTATTTTAGATGCTTGTGATCTTTACTTAGTGAAGGCTTATATATTATTTGGTTGGAGTGTTCTTCTTCTAACTTTAACAGATACTGCTGGTTACAAAAATCTTTTTTGTGTGTTACTTTTATTCCTTCCTAAATTTGATTACTTATGGAATTTTTAAAACTACTTAGCATTGAAGTCTAATGTCTGTGATTTTGTTATTAAGTATATATTTTCTTACGTATATGTAAACCGGAAAAATATTAAAGAATAAAGAGATTTATGTATGCGACGATATACGTTAAAGTCTTCTCGCATATGCCATGTCATAAATAAACTGACAAGTGCACGGAAGTAAGATCAAAAATAAAATATTCTATATAATTATTCCATTATAAATATTTTATATAAATAAATAAATAAAGTATATCCCATTGTTTTTAACTTAATACGTTATAAGAAATTAATAAAATTATAGCGAATAAAAAGTTTTTGGGATAAAATGCTGCAATGTAACAAACAAAAATCGGGACATTGGTTTATAAATCCACATATAACAATAATATTTATATAGATACTATACATTAGTAGGTGGATATTATACGACTCTTCTTAAATTATATAAAACAATTTTAATACATTCGTTATGCACCAAATTATATTGGAATGCACAAATCAGCATTTGCTAGATATATACGCATATTTTAATAAAAACTTATTTCTACGTCAAATATTGAGTAATAGAAATATATTTCAGATAGTGTTCTCTCTAGATCTTTATATATTGCAAAAATACTCTTCTTCAAAATAAATATTACGAAAAGTTCTCAGCACTCCTTACTATTTATTTAGAAATTCCTCTTCAGTTCAGTACACACTCAGAGGCGGAATCGATCACTTGTTTTTAATTTAAGAACATGCGGTTTTGTGTATAATATATAGAAAAAATATATTTATATATGAAAAATATTTGAATTTCCAAAAATTTTCTTTCATATATATTATATAGTAATTGGTGTGATTTTCGTTTTAATACTATATTAAATAGTTACGTAAAATAAAAAAGGTGGCTTATGTTATATATCATAACGTAAATTATTAAGTGTATGTTTAATATAATATATATTAATTAAGTAACTATTACATATGTATCTATATAATGTAAATATATAATATACATTAAAATCGAAATTGAATTTATTTCTTTTGCTGTTCATTTAATGCATTTAAAAACACCTGAAATTCGAAAAATTATAAAAAAAAACAAAATAAATTTTCAATATATTTTTTTTGTTTTTTGGTTTTTTTTATATATATAAATAGATTTTGTATCACTATTTTTATATACAAGAAAGAAAGAAAAAATTTTCTGAATTTTCTTGGAGAGTGAAAATCTTTATTTATTACGCGAGTCTGTATGCAAATGGTGCCGTTGTTGCCCGATGTTTAAATAAAAATTTTCTTAACGCGTTCCCAATAATTTTTCAGTAGGAAAATTTTTATTTTTCGTGTCGCCATCGCCAATGCGGGAACCCAAAAATACAAGCTCGTGAACTAAATACTTGTGGAAACATTTTTACAGATACGATTTCGAAAATTATATACTTACACGTATATATTTGCGAATATCTATATATCTACATATATATATAAATACTTATATATCCGTACTATATTATAAAACGTTAAAGGAAGCACTTGTGCATAAAAAAATCGCCTAAATACGCTTGAAATAAAAAGGCGTACCGAAAATTGGCGTAAAGTTTTGTGCCGTGAGCATCCCAAAGAAAATTAACTCACAAGTTGCAATTAAATCCCATACGAAAAAAAAGGAAAAATATTTGTTAAAAAAATTTTAAAATATTTTAAGTGTAAAAAATAAAATACAAAAATTTGTTTTAAAAATATATTCAAATATTTTAGTGCAAAAATAAGTGCAAATAAAAATAAGTAACACAATTAAAATTAACTACAAGGATTCCTAATTTTAGTAGTGAAGTGTTCGATCTTGTTTGAAGTTGCATTTCTTAGCTGTTAGTGTGGTAAGTCCAACATGGAAACATATCGCTAGTGCTTCTATAAACGCAAGTCCCTACATGGAAACATATCGCTAGTGCTTCTATAAACGCAAGTCCCTAATATTATCCAGTCTTTTATGTAACACGATTGTCTGCTTATACTTAAAGTATTAAAGTATTTCCGTTTGTCTCAAGAAATTTTAGTTTCTAAATCTTTTTTCTGTTAAGATTTTAATCTATTTTATTTGTACAAACCGAAGATTTCGCCCATGAAAGTGACCTTGCTTATTCTGTTCACACGTAGGAGGATATATTCATTTTTATTCTTTTACTTTAAGTAAAAGTTATGTGGGATAAACTATATAGAGAAAATATTTTTAAATCATTTGTTTAACTTTTTTTGTTTTAATTACTGCAAGCCAAATGTAAGGAGTAATTAAAAACTAATCCATTGCCAAATTCATGGGAAATACAAAGGTGAATCATTTAACATTCTATTGATATAGACTTTTCCTTGTAAATATTTTCATTTACTTTATGTGTTTTTATTATTTTTTTCTTGTATTGTTTATTGCACAATGACTTGACATTTTGTATTATTTCAATGCTATTAGAGGCGATGACACTCTACGTTGTGTAAACACCGAAGACATTACACATTTGTTATTTTCTTCCGATTTATTTATCTTTTTTATTATATTTAAGTGAGAGATTTAAAAGCTAAAATAGGTTTTTGTACAAATTTTGCACAAAAATTATTTATTTAAAATATAATTAAACAAAAATAAGTATAAATGATTTTCATAGAATAATACATTCAATAATAGTTATTCACGATCTGGTGTAACCATTCGGTTATTACTCAATAACAAAAGCAATACGTGTAATATTGGATTCACATGAGAGTTTTATTTGTAATTATAGCTATCAATTGTTGTTGCTTTCATTGCAAAATGAAATTTTTTGACAGCTAAAATTATAGATAAAACTCTCATGTGAAGAAAACTCTCGTGTCAATCTAGAATAAATATATTTTGCTGCCACTTTCAACTGTTACTGTGTTACTCGGATATCGATTGTAATGATTGTAATATTTTATGATTATCTTTTATAGTCCTTATTTTTAGTTATATATTAGAAATAATAA